CGCCGGTGTTCTGTAGGTACGGTTTGTGACGTGACTGTAATTTTTACCGGTAGCCGTGTGGGAGGTCCGGTAAGGCGCAGTAGTACCTATGGCGACACCCCGTCGAAAGGAATTTGGCAACGGAGGGGCGCTGGCTGGCTTGGTTTGAATAAGGTCTCCGAAAAGAACGCGGGGGGTGAGGTAAGGAAAATAGAAGTCAACTTACCAGCTGGGGACACACGCTTGGCTTGGAGAAAGGGATGGGAGAGAAAGGCAGCTGGAAGATAATGGTTAAAGGGAGGAAAAGTAGTGCTTACGGAAATCAATACGGGCCGAGGGTTTGCGGATTAACATATTTAAAAGAAGATCACGTAGATTAGGACTGGTTTCGTGGGGGATTCTAAAACGAGCAAAAAAGGTCATCACAGCTTTTTTAGATGACAATAAGACCAGTTTAGATAAAAAAAACTTCGAAAAGTAAAGTGATACTAACAAAATGTGTGTGTGTGTGGTCTGAATAAATAATCATGAAATCGATTTGTTTCAGCCCATGGGAGACTAGATTCGGAAAGCTTACTTGGGCTTCAGATCAACCGTCTTTTCATAGATATTTTTCAGGGCTTCCGGACTGTTTGCATAGAATGGTGCTCTGCCTACATAGCACTGATACACGATGACGCCCATGCTCCAGATATCTGCTCTGGCATCGTATTTTCGGCACATCAAAACTTCGGGGGCCTAGAAAAAAACGAAGCTAGTGACACGGTGCGCGTACACAGGCAGCATAAAGAAGTAATGAGAAGAGGTGAAGAAACGCACCATGTACATCGGAGACCCACACATGGTCTCGGCCATGATACCGTCCTGCAAAAACCGTGCAAAACCGAAGTCGGCTAAAAGGAGACAGAAACGGTCGTCAGAAGTGCATATGTCAGATTTCAGCTTCTAGGAATCAATGTAAGACAGAAATTGGAGGAAAAAGGAAACGTTTCGGCATGCTTGAAGAGTTTGCACAATTACGTGTAAATAAAGGACAAACTACTGCCACCACTAACTATCAGAACACTCAAAAAAGCAAATACTAAACGACTTCGACGAGCATGGCTCTCAAAAGCGAGCAGACAACGCTGAGGCGTGTGGTTCTTGCGTTTCTTCTCCTTCAACATCCTAAAAACAATCACCCGACTTTCCCAGACAGATTATCTCTGTTTCGGTTCTACGTTGCTGCGGTAAAATCTCTGAGATGACTATTTTGGGGTAACTATCGAAGTAGGTATCAGGAGGGAAGAAGGACAGGGCTTGGCAAAACTGTCTTGTAGGGTCGCCTAAATATCTATTCCGCCAGCCCAACTGTTTTATGCATTTTGTGGTTAAACGTTTAATTCTTGGTTAACGAGTGCAAATGAATACATTTAATCGTGTTAAGACTGATCAAAGATTACTAAATCAAAGCCACTTATAGTTGTTTTAATGAGCTAAATAGAAGCAACTCCATCAAACTACACTCCTGTTGCTCAGGCAACTGATACCTAATGAGGGAAATTCGACGAATTTAACGAAAAAAGGAGTCGGTCTACTGAAAAAGTAAAAGTAGATTGTTAGGCGGTTTTGGCAGATTTGCCTACTTAGTTGACCCAATTGTGAAAGACTCGCGGCCTCGGCGGGAGTCGAATCTGCACAGCAGGGAAGGCTTTTGCGCAGCGGGTACAATCGATCTCAGTGTGAGTAAATTCACGGCGTACGGCCTGCCTCGTAACTCAATCGAAAGAGCGTTGGCTGCGCAAAAGCCTTCTCTGCTGTGCGGATTCGATTCCCGCCGAGGCCGCGAGTTTTTTCCCAATTGGGCCAGCCAAAAGTAGATTATTATTATTATTATTATAAGTCATATGTAAACAGGACCTCTAAAAACGGTCCTACCACAGGGCTCATATTGCATCCTAATTTCTCGGACCCTGGCAGCAAATAATCGACAGTACTTTTTTTTCAAAATTCGAGTGTGCTCTTGTCTAAGAAGAATAGAAGCAACAGTACTTTAGTCTAGCAGTGGAGATTTTTTGGCTTTTATCACTATGGCATCCAACAGTCTTTTTCGTTAGGTCCGGTTTCAAAAACATTCCCTTTTTCAAAAAGGCTTCAGAGGGATTAGAAAAAGGACACTTCAAGTACTCTGCTTGAAAAACACATCTCAGGAGAGTCAATTTTAAGAAAGGCGAAAACAAGTTTTCTTTGAATCCACCAAACCATTTCAAATAATATTTATGACATGCCCGTGACAGTTCCTGGGGTCGCATTAACAGAGAATATAAAACAAGTGTTTGTGGACAGAGGGTTCAAAAGGAGGGTAGAAATCATCAAACGACTTCTTCGAGTAAAAGGAAAGGGCAACAAGAAATGAAGCCTGCTTGAGGAGAACCTTCCTTGGGCGAGGCCAAGAACAGCCTTGGCTCCCCAGGCTGGTGTGTCCCTGAACCCTGGTACGACTGCCTATTATCTGTCTACGTACAAGCTGACAACCACTGACTGTTTGCTACTGTGGGCACGAATTCGCGAGTGTTTGTCTTGTGTAACCAGGCCGGATCGGTGACCGCCAGTCCCGGTGTAATCTTGATTACCAGCGTTCTCAATCACTTCTTGGTGCCTCGACTCGCCTTTATTTTGTCATTGCTATTTTTGTTTCTAAGATATACGCTAAAGCGAGTAGCCATATGCAGGATTCACCTGAGACTGAAAACACCTGTTACGGGAATAGTTTTTCTAAGTTTTAAAGGTCAGAAGACCGATTAGAAAAGTTATGGCATGCCTTAGGAGCCGAGTCTGGTGGAACATGCAAAGCGGGGCAAGGTTTCCGGTCGAAATTAATATTGTGACACCCTGTACAGAATATTTACAGAAGGTCCAACGACATCAATAACCTAAGCTAGTAAACTTTAATCAGCATGATTACGTACTTCTTCAAAGGGAGACGAGCTGTAAGCGGAAGCACCCAGCCGAACTTCGTTTTTTTTAATGAGGCACAGTACTACAGACATGAGTGCACTGGAATTCATACTACCAACTGTAGACACGGTTAAGTACGAGGCAACTAAATGCGACAGTCAAAAAAAACCAGACGTCGCCGACAAGCGGACGTTTTTTCCTTTTAAAGAAGTGAAGTTCAAAAGGATTAGTACCACCGGAAATAGACATTACACAGAGGTTCTCGTGGAGTCAAGATAAGGAGTGGAAAAAAAGAACTGCAATACTCATATTTTGGACTGAAGTTTTTGTAGATAGTAGGGAGTTCAGTTCAGCTGGCTG